ACCACGCAAGGCATTACCAACCCAGCAAATCGCTGAATCGTCTTATTCTTACTTAGCCCTAGTCACTGTACACCATCAGTCGTTCTCCGATGGCTAGGCCGATGGTCCGATCCATTGCAGCCGTTCTATCAAAACGTATAAGAAAGTAGAAATGCAAAAAAAGGTTCACATCCACAATGGCGGCATTGCATACGGTAATTACTGATCATGGGATTTACGCTGCGGCAATTGCGTTCTCGTGAAGCGCTGTCATGGCGCAGTTTGAAGGCGACCTTAACGCAACACTTTTCGACAAAACAGTCTACCAAAAACCGAGAACAAAATCTTCTCAAAGTAAAGAACTGGGCACCAAAATCAACACTTTTGGTGCAAAGATAGTTACAAGCCAAAAATCTCATGAAAAAATTCATACATATTCAAAACACCTTGTCCGGCGGCAATTGCTTGTGGTGGTACCAACGCGTAGTAGCGATTGGGCCAAACGCTATCGCTCGTAATTTGAATAAACGTCCTTCGAATTACATCTTTAGCCTTGGCCACGCTTTCATCAGCCCTTCAACCATAACGATTTGGAATCTCCTAGATTTGAAATGGAAACAAAAACGACGCTTGTTGTTCACAAGGGTAAGCCGCGGCAAAGGATTTCTCAACATGGGTTGCATTTGACTTGGTGGAAAGGGAGGGACACAGGTTTACGGTATCTCAACCCGCTTCCGGAAATTTTACGACCCCTCTCCTCCCTGCACCCATTACCACCACCTTGCGACCTCCTTCCCCCTCCTCTTCTCCACCCTGACAACCACCCTGACCATCTTACTCTCAGACCACCAGCGACACGTCCAACTTCGCGTAGCGCCCACCTTTTCCCTCCAAAACGGCCGTAGAGGGGGAAGGGGAGGGGTCTCTCAAGAAAAGGCTCCAGTATTGCCTGTTTCACTCCTCTTTCGTGAGCTCAAAAGCGTCAATAAACCCGTTTAACACGACCAACCAGCATTCACAAATACGACCATCCCCCTTCGACGTTTGACTTCCGTCAATCCCAAATACGATCCCCCTCGTTGGAAACTACGCAGCGGACGGTTGACCCCTAGAAGGAGCGCGAATGTGGGATCGGTTATGCATATTGGAGAGATAAGCTCATTTTTCTAGAAGTGAACAGAGGATAATTCACGGTGTGTTCAAAGGGTGCGGATTCTGGAGCGAAATATCAAGAAAGCAACCGGGAATATTGGGGACGGGAGGTTGGTGCTGGGCACTGCCACGCAGGTGTACGACTAATTGATCGGCCATTAAACGGTTAAAAGGTGAGGGTGTGACGGTCGTAAGAAAGGCAGAGGGGGTCGTATTCACGGGAGGAGGGACAAAAGTGTGCCTCAACACTGGGCTCACCTTGGTGATAACGCTCTTGATTCTCATGGGTTAATACGCCTCCTACACCATAGTCTCCAATAAAGAATGTGGAACTCACTTGTAGGTAAAACGGCAATGTTCATCACCCAAGAAATTGTCTACTACCGCCCAACCGAACTCGTTCAGACTGCGAATAACGTACTCGGCGATATACTGAAAGCCAGGTACAACATTTCACTTTATCTCAAATGTGACGAGCTAGTGACGGATGGCAAGAAGAAAAAGAAGAAAAGATACGGGTAAAAAATTACCCGCAACCGGACCACGAGAGTTTGATGGGCGTTCAACGTCAAGCCTCGTTTCTTCATCATATTTTGATGGTCTTGAAGGGTTGTCTGAAAAAACTGGTTACTAGATTATTCTCTTATTAAAATGATATGTAAAATAATAACAGATCACTTCGACAAGAGCAAGGATGGTTCAGGTAACATACAAAGGCAGATTCCAGACTTTACGACCAATCGCTAGCGATTCGCGCGATTCGCTGGACGGTCTGGTCGCAAAATCAGATAACTGCCTCGTGATAAAAATTCAATTCTAGAGAGGCCTGAAGAGACCCTGGAAAGATGGACTCTGTTGGACTACTACATTTTTCCTCGGGCTAATGACGTAGATTTTATCAACGGAATGATGTGATGGAAGGTGCTGTCCATGCCACGCGCACGGTTTGGAGATAAAACCGCGGACTGAACCTTGCACTAGTTAACCAAGCTCTCCCCACTCTGTATTCGGTCAACTAATACCCTGGACCAGGGCCAGCCGCTTGTTCGCACTTTTCGAAAACTTTGAGACACCACCCAAACTTAGGGGGTTCTCGATGCGACCCCTCACCATCACTATAAATTTTAGGGAGGCTCTCCAACGACACCCCTCCTCCCTACCTACGTGTGAATTGGTATAATATCATGAAGCGGCAAATCCACTAACTTTGCCTACTTCATGCAATACATGAAACTTCCGCCAAACATGCCGAAAACCCGTCAAATGTAACCCTTTTTAAGACCCTCGGTTACGCTTTTCCCGGCAGTATTCCACCTTGTTCAACCCCGAAATGCGATCCCCTTCCCAAAATCGTGAACGCGACCCCCTCGTTCGAATAGTGCGAACGGACGGTCGACCCTGCCCTGGACCTGTGCGAGGGGTAAAAATGCAGAACTGCACATCGACTGGCCGCTCCGAGTAAATATATGGACCAGCTCCCATGCGAATGCCGCTACGATTTTGACGGGACTTTGGACGCGTGGCGCATCCTAAATGAAAC